TAAGCATTTCAATACTCTCCTTCTTGTAAGAACAAATACTCCCTTTCTTGCTTTAGTATTCTGGATTCTGCTAACAACTCTATTGATTTAAAACTCAAAGAAGCTTTTTACATAAATAAGATCAAACCTGAACTTAACAAACAGTTACATCATAACGCTTTTCTAGCGTTTTAGTCACACCTTTGATGTTTGGTGTCATGTCGTAATTAGTACCCGCTTTTGTATTACATCCTACTGTAAATATTTTATTCATCTACTTGTCTGTTATATAATTACTCACGTTCTTTTACTCATTGATTGAAGATGGCATAAGCATGCCGAAACACGTCTCTCAAAAAAGTTGTCTATTTTTTACAAAAAAAAAAAATATATATATATATATCTATATATATATATATCAACCCGTACCTTTTTTAATCAAAGGCTCCTTAGAGCAACCTCATGGTATGAATTTTTAGCGCCCTTGTAACCTGCGATCTGGCTTTCTTTGGAAAGTTTTTTCGATCGTGGGCAACACGTGCTGGCACAATCATTGTGTTTGTAAGTGTTTTGATGAAGAAAAATTGCCTTAAATTGTGAATGTGTGAAGATTTAGTTAAGATACCGGCATTGTTTTGCATTGTCCGAATTTGAGAGGCCCCATTGCGAAGTTTTCGTGGTCGTGGGTGGAACAAGATGAAATCAACGAATTTGCAGTAAGCTTAAGCTCACTTCATATTCACGGTGTTTGGGATTTCACGCACGAATCGTTCATGTTTTTGTCCCTTTTAAGACTCAGACGCCCATTTCTCTGCAATTGAGTATTCTGTAGCATATTTCCTTTCCATATTTGGCTCCACAAAGGTATGTTTTGATCAAGTTTGGAATAAAAAACCATCACGCTTCAAGGGACAGGACGTTATTTTGAATCTGTCCAAGTAGTTCGGCATACTCTCGCCTTTGTACCACCCCCCAAGTATACGTACACCGTGACTTTGAACAGGTAAACTTGTCGGGGAGGGGGAGGAAAAGTGTTTAATCCAGCTTTAATGCATAAGTTAATGTCTAACAAAGTGAGTGACTGATTTTAATTGAATTTCGCCCCCAAACCCTAAACCCATAGCATGACTTACATCATACCATGAGGTAAAAATGAAATATATTTCTCACAGTAACCTTTCAAATAGGAAAAATTTACATTGTAAGGTCATAATTTCCTTTCTTCCTCTGAGTGCAAAATTTGATACTTTTCAGACACAAAGAAAAAAAAAATGAAACATTAGGAACAAAATTTTCAGATTTGATCAAGGCTTGTTAATTAAAATGAATTACTAAAGAAATAAGAAATGAAACGTATAAGAACACAAAGTTCACAATGCAAAAATAACAATTAATTATGTATATAAATGTTTTTTTAAATAGAAAAATTTTTAACTCTTGAGAAGTTCCTACTCATCTCTCTGTACATCTTAACATTGATTGGGGTGCAAAATCTGATTTTACATGAGTGTTTACTCATCAACTTAATTCTGTAATAATAATCAAACACCCATCCGAAAACTCCAATCAAGCAACAGAGAGACACAGTTGCAATTCACCTTTAATTGCTCTTAATCATAAGAAACTCTCCCTAAAACAAGATCTTAAAGTTCATAAATAAGGAAGGTACTTGGGAAAACAAGTCTACCAAGTGTGCTTGATTATGATTTTGTTCAATTATAATGGCACATTTTCCCCAAGTTTGGCCATTATCACTCAAATCATTGATTCCTCTTAAATGCATAGAAGTCACAAATACACTTTATAGGTAGAGCTCTTAAACTGGTAAAATATTAACCCTTTACGTCTAACGTGTAATTTCTTTTTAAAATATCCACACATTATCCAGCAAACAGGTAACGAGAATACTCAAACTTATCACCAAATTCTTGTAATTAATAAAAAAAATGGAACTGTTTAGCAGCTAAAGGGAAGAATTAACAATCAGATCTTGAGAGCTAAAGGGTTAAGTAACCTACGCAAGCTTGATAACAGTCTTGGGTTAATCATCACCATCCAAAAATATTATGTGTGATTATTATATGGCTGTGTCTCACAAGGACTGGGAACTACTGAATTCACGAATTTGATTGGCTGAAATCAATATTGAAAGTGGTCTAGATTTCTCATCTAGACCAGCAGCTAGACCGGTCTAGAATAAAAAGGTACAAAGAAAATAAAAAATTGGCATATAAGACACAGCCATATAATAAACATCTTATTAACTGAGCTAGGTCAGTCTGTATGGGAGAATCTTGACCTCGGTCACTGGTACAGACCAAACGCAGTGAGGTCTGTACTGGCGAGCTCAGTCAAGATTATCCCATACCGACCTCCCACTCGGTTAATAAGAACTAAGTAACAATAAAAAATATTGAGAATTAATCCTATAACTCCTAGAAGTGATTAAATATTAACTTCTCTTTATAATAATCATACATCATCCAGCAATCGGGTGACAACAATACTCAAACTTATCAGGTAGAAGTTTTATCATGATCTAACACCAAATTCTCGTAATTTATTTACAAGGAAAAGTGTAATAGGTAGAGGGGAGAATTAACAATCAGATCTTGGGAGTTAATCATCATCCTCAGAATCTTCATCATCATCCATATCTCTTCTGCTCCGAATGGATTTCTTCAGTATCGTTGTGGAACTTTTTTTGTTGGCCTGATCAGGTGGTACACTCAGATCCCCAGTGTAATTGATAACACCAGAACGCGCTATTCTCCATTCCATCATCGCTGTGCTGAATTCATCATGGCCCCCTAAATCATCGAATCCTACGATACGATCCGGGAATTTACCATCTTTAATAATCAGAATGGTCGGTAGGACTTTAACATTTAATTTTTGTACAAGGAAGTGACATCGTTCGGCATCCACTTTGATAAATTTTGTTTCAATATGCTTCGGTGCCAAAAGTGCTAAATGCTTGTCAACTATCTTGCAACGAAAAGTGCTGTCACGGAAGAAGTGGCACACGATTCTGGGACTGTCTTTTGTCTCCTTGAAGAATTCTTTTTCTCCTGGAATCTCGTTGTATTGGCCGTGTCCTTTGTGAAGCCACTCCCGTTTTTGTTCCTCTTGCTTTTTCAATTGCTCTAACCGCTTTTCACGAAGTTCCTCCATTTCGTCCAATGTCATACGGTCCAGTTTTTCAATCTCTGAATCGATCTGCTCTTCCATTACCTTTGTTGCTTGTAGCAACGTATTTTGGATATGGTGCTCAATATTTCCAGCCATTTTACGCGCTAAAATGTACTCGTTCAAATGGAATAAGATCAAACGTTTTGTCAAAGATACGTTTGTATAGGGCAGTTTTGAAAGTTCGTTACCAGGCGCTAAAATTTATTCAGAGCTCTCCTGGAGACGAAAGAGCCTTCTAAGAATTCTGGGACATTTCAAAGATGGCCGATGCGTTGTAGAGAGAGCGTGAAGCACCTCTTCCATTTATCGCGTTGATTTAAGCAGCCAGCCTCAAGAGCAACAGTGCTGCGGTTAAATTTACGACCAGTGACACGCTTCTCTCACTTCCAAGACGTAGTCAGATTTAAAACATGGAAGGTGGCATTGAGGAACCGGGGAACATCGATCAATCTACTATGTCAAAGCGTCAAAGGAAACGGCTGCAAAAGCGTCAATTTTTCGTGGAACATAGGAAAATTAAGAGAAAGGAAAAGAAGGAGAGGAAGAAGGCAAAAAAGAGGAAACTACAGGAAGAGAAGGAAACAGAGGACGGAAAGGAAGGCGTGAGTTCTGCAAGCGACAATCTGGCCAACAACAAAGAGAAACTTTCTTTGAATGCGACAAAGAAGAAATTTAAGTCGATGAACTCTGAACATGCTTCACCTCTTCGTGTCGCTATAGACCTGAGTTTCGACGATTTAATGACTGATCGCGATATTCATAAACTCTTGAAACAAATCCAAAGAACTTACTCTATGAACAGAAGAGCTGATCGACCTGTTCAGTTGTACCTCACAAGCTTTGGCGGCAGGTCCAAAACAATACTGGATGAAATTCACTGTAAATTTACGAGTTGGGATGTTCACATTAGGGAAGAAAGTTATGGCGATGTTTTCTCGCAAGAGGACGTAGTGTATCTAACTTCAGATTCACCCAACGTTTTGAGCGAAGTCGATGAATCTAAGGCGTACATTATCGGTGGCCTTGTTGACCATAATTATCATAAAGGATTATGCTACAGGCTCGCTGTGGAGCGTGGAATTGCGCATGCCCGTTTACCGATTAGTGAGTATTTAAAATTGAATTCCAGGACTGTGATTACCGTGAATCACGTGTTTGAGATTATGTTGCTGTACTTACAGACGAAGGACTGGAAAGAGTCTCTTGTCCAAATCATTCCAGCCAGGAAAATAGGAGCTACAGAAAATGAAGGCCACAAGAAAACGGGAAATGAAGCCCGGAAAGATGTGAATGCTGAGGAAGAGACTGATGAGTCAGTAGAAGGAAATGGTGAAGATCCCAATTTATAGGACTCAAAGCAGGACTTTCAATGATTAGGCCATGCTCATTTAATGTTTTGTTACTCCTAGCCTTTCCTTTTGGGAGACTCGGTCGGCTGATTGGCCGGTATGCCGAAAAATAATACAAGAAAAGTAAAGAAGTGTTGATCGAGGAAGCTTGGACTCCGGTACAGCCTGGTCGTGTGCATTGACCTGTTAATTTTTTTTGTAACCCAGAAATTTACGACTTAAAAGATAAGCTAGAAAAATACGGTCTACACAATTCCCATTCAAAATAAAGTCTCAATATTTTGCCTTTGAATAAAATTGAGGGTGTGAATGTATTTTTTTATTTTTTTTATTTTTAACTTTCTGAATAAATAAACAACAACAAAATAGTTTGCATCGGTCGGGCGATGGAAATCGAAACGGTTTGTGGGGATGACCCAAGTATTTCAGTCATTTGACTTAAAACTAATGGAAATTTTTGTCAGAATGAAAGGAAACTGACAAGAGGCGAATAGTATACGTAAAGCTTAGTGCATCTCGCTCTCGTCAACTACTGGGCAAAAATTGTCACGCGTGGCAAACGTTGTGTGACGCCGAAGGACCACCGAGCAAACGGATCTTATGATTCTTGATCCTAGTGGTACGCGTGTGAGACTGGGTTGAGAGATCTCGAAGGTGGGATATTTGTCTAAAAATAGAAACTAATTATCCATAAAAATTTTCTTTATCTACATACGAATTCGCGCAACCAGAGTCAAGATCTGTATCGAGACCATTTGAGAAAATTTTACCTTGACATCCCGTTCTTAAATTATGGGCAGTAAGATCATAATATTTTCCAAAATTCTCACTCTATATCACATTAGATCTATTAATTCTACAAATTACAACTATCTTAGATATTTGCATCTGTCCTTTTTCTTCAAAAACGTTCTTTAAGTTTTCTACGATTTATTTGACAGTGAAAGATGATGATCTTTACACCTTACTGGCACTTGCAGAGGAATCAGCAAAAATGCAAGAATTAAGTTATCAAAAAACAAGTTAAGCATATTTTGTCTAGACCTTCAGGAACGGAAATTTTCTTTTCTGTCAAAAGTGTTGTTCATCTTATCCAGAACGTTATGACTCTTAAGTCGGATTAAGCAAGCTACACTGTTTGTCTCTTAAGTGCAAGATTTTCTTTCAGACATTCAATCATGCAAGAATTTTCTGTCTCGGGCCATGTACAGGAAGGCGTTCAGTGCGAATGGCGTCCATGTTGCACGGGTTTTCAACTCAGCCACGTTCGTTGCACTGTCCGATTCCGTTCCACACCCTATCTCTTTCACTTCATTGTCAGGTATTTCTCCCTTCTTTCTGTCGGTCAGTTTTGTGTCTTGTTTCCCAATAAACATTTATATCTTGAAGTTGTTAGACGTAATACTGTTATTCAGTGCAGAGTGAGGGCCCAACAAACCGATTCGTTGTCTCTGCTTGCGATGTTCAGTCATCTGTTAAAAAACCCAAAGCAAACACACTAAATATTCAATTTGCATATATTAACAAAGTTGAAATGGTAAATTGGCCACCGTTACGATTATAAAAGCTGACGTTTCGAGCGTTAGCCCTTCGTCGGAGCGAATAGAGGAATTGTGGGTTGTGTGCGCTTTTAAAGGCAGAAAATGGAGCTACGTTATTGGTGGGATCATGGCAACGGGAAAAACACGAATAAATTAGTGGAATGTAAAAACGTCAGCTTTTATAATCGTAACGGTGGCCAATTTACCATTTCAACTTTGTTGATATATTCAAATTATTTCGTTACCCCCACCGACGCAGCCCGAAACAGTTTCTTTAGAAACTATCAGCCCTTATTTATAAATATTCAATTAATCTGAGGGAGGAATACTAGGGGGCACCTACGTCTGGATGGGAGAGGGGGCCGGGGAGAGAAAGAGGCAAGGTAAGGTTAGATAGAGGAAGGGGGAGAAGGAAGCAGGGTGGGGTGGAAGCAAAGTGGGGTTGAAGAGACAGAGATGATGAAGTGGGAACATTGGAGGGAAGAAAAGAAAAGGTAGGTAAGGTTAAGGGGTAGGAGACGAGGAGACGTGGCCAGGTAGGAGGGAGAAAAATTAAGAGGCAAGTAGGGTAAGAGAAAGGGAGAGAAGGACGCAAGACCGAGTGAAGGGGTCTGACAAGGAGGCAGGCTGGTCAGGAAAAGGTGAAAAAATTAAGACAAGGTTGAAGCGAGTCACGAAAGGAGGTGAGGCAAGGTTACAGGAGGGCAGTTTAGGTGACAGGCAGGATTGGAAGAGGGAAAAGTTTAAAGTACGAAATAGGTAGAGTTGAAGGGGGGCATACTAGGTGGAGGGAGACGGAAACAGGGGGATGCTATGGGGTCTGATTTGAGAGTCATACCTGTTCCTTTAGATCTGTGAGTTGTTGAGACAAAGTGTATACCAGTCTTGTGGTGCTTTCTAGCTTTTCCTGAAGATTTTTTATTTCACTTTGCTCACTTTCTCCTTCGTCAATAGCCAGGCTCATGGCACGCATGCGTGGGAACCAATCCAGATCGTGCTCCTAAAACAAGTAAGAAACGTCGCACAGGTTGGCTAATCACGTGTTGCTATAAGTAACTTAACAATGCTGTTCCCGATCACTGGGAGTCATTACACTTTTGGTAAGCAATTTTAGCCCAAGGACTTATTCAAACTTCATTAAAGCTCTCCCCCACCCCCTCCGCTTCATAAAACATTTTCCATATTCATGATATACCTTGACCATCAGACTGACGTAACTCTCGGGTCCAGTGAACTCGGTCGTGTCCTTGACTTTGAGCAAGACTATGAAGTATAAGTAATGCCACATGTTATGCTCCGAGTTGATGTGTTCATCAAATGATACCACTTTGTTGTCGAACGCCGACCGATCAAGACCTGAGAGAAAAAATGCAGGGAAGAGTCAATGCACCAGTGAGATGATGGATTTCCACTTCCCAAAATATTTTCCTTCGGCAGCTTCTATTGAAGATTGGTCATGGCTCAACTGGATGCTCCAAAATCAGGTTTCCGAGTAGGACTTGAACTGAATAAATTATTATTCAGTAAATAAGGTCCCGACCTTTTACGATCTTTGTCCTCATCTAAAATCCTGACTTTTGTATCTGATCCATAGTACGTTAGGAGGACCAAACCTGAACGAGAACAGTTCGGAAATAAAACGGGAATAATAGTTTCTAGTCCTTACTCGAAAACCTTATTTTGGAGTATCCATTAAGCCACGACCAATCTTTGATAAAAACTGCCGAAGAAAAATATTACGGGGAGCTAGTGGGAACTCAAACTAAAAACAAACAATCTGCTCAGCGTGCGACTGAAAGCGCGGGAAAATGCGAGTGACCAGGTTGCGATTGTTACCAGTTTTGATTCTGATTGGTTGAGAGGATGACGTGAATTTTCTGGACCAATCACCGAGTGAGAAAAACCAAACCGGCGTCAATTATTCGGGATTAAATCGACACCCGATTCAAAATTTTTCCGAAAGAAAAAAAAATCGCTAAAATTCATTGTCACTTACCACAAATAAAACACGTGTTCTTGAGCACCTCCTCTTTGTTCTGTTTCTCGCTCCTCAGATCAGCAAACGTATCGATAATGACGCCAAATATCAAGTTAAGAACAATAATAATGACCACGAAGAAGAAGAGCAAATCGTAGACTACGCGTCCCACGAACATGTTCTCTTTCATGGAGGGCCGTCTGAGGACGTCTCCGATACCCCCTCCATTTCTGAGCCCCTGCTTCAGTGTAGTGATGATGCACATTATCAAGGTGTCACAGGCACGTTCCTTCACCGAGTCCTCTCCTTCTGAGTTTTTTTCCGAAAGTGAGACGGAACTTTCGCAGCTCTTATCGGCATCGCAGGTAGCTGATGGAGCTGACGAATACAAGAAAGAGAAAATGAAGACATGCGCAAAGTTAAAAGAAGCAATTGAGCGAATAGAAGACAAAATTCAGTCATTTTCATGGCAAACACCTAGTTAATGCTGGCGCGCGACGGAAAGCCAACGTTTTACGCACTATTTTTTTCATGTTGGACGCAGTTATAAGAATAGAGTGTATGATCAGGATTAAGTTCACTTCGCTCTTCTGATTTTGAGTCCTTTCTTCTGTATCAAACTCACACCCTGAGACGGTTTTTCCCGAGCGTATATCAGCGTAACACTGTAATTTAAGCCTGACTATCTCGTTCCTGAATTTTTTTCCAGAAACGGAACTCTAATGTATTACTAAGGAACTTAACACCCATCCATACTTTTGCGCGCTAAACTGTCGTTCAAATTCAGCTCTACACTTCTGGCATGCCGCCCGAAAGCTTCTGCGTCACGAAACCAGTTGACGTTGGCGAACTGACAACTCCCATGAGTGACCAATACAGAATTTCTCCTCACAGTATCAATACAATATCAAGCAGACAAGTGATGAGAATAAAGACAAATATCAATTGGGGGATTATCGGGCGATCTAATACCAAATTCTCCTAAATAACATCAAAAGAATCGGATGGCAGACAGTAAGGAGATTTCGAATTACTAGTGAGATCTTGGGTGTGAAAGGTTTAAGTACAAAACATACGAATGGAAACTTAGCCACTAAGAAAGCTTATTCACTCACCGAGCTTAAGAGAAAGCGTCGGATCCGTCTCGACTAAGAAATCATCTTTGAGGAAAAGAAAGCCAATGATGGAAAACATGTAGACGAGTATAAGAGCCAAGACAGCAGTTAAGATAATGGACCGGCCATTACGGGTCACGCTCTTTATCACGTTTAACAGCGTGTCCTCACGGAAGATGACGTCCAAGAGCTGGAAAGAAAGCTGAACTTAGTTAGCGTTGGCCTCATTGAGGGTTAGAGATACACAGGTTACTAAACCCGATCAGCCTCCCGGTTAGCTCAATTGGTAGAGCGCCGGACTGTTGTGCGGGAGGTCGTGAGTTCAAATCCGGCCGGACCAACACTCAGGGTCTTTAAATAACTGAGAAGAAAGTGCTGCCATTGTAATAATATCTGCAAATGTTTAGACTTTCTAGTCTTCACGGATAGGGACGATAAATGGTGGTTCCGTCTCACAAGCCCTTGAATGTGAAAAAATTTGTGGGACGTTAAAGAACCCACACACTGTTCGAGAAGAGTAGGGCACGTAGTGCCCGGGGTTGTGGTCTATCTTTGTGTAGTGTCTATCAAAATTGATGGGGGGGGGGGAATGCGCCTTTGAATATTGTATAGAAAGGGCGCAATATAAATAAGGAATTCATTC